GGAGCGAGGACCCAGGTGCCGGTCTCGATGGCATAGGCCGGGGTGACGAGCTCGGAGGCAGTGTCGGCGTAGTTGGTGGCCGGGTCAGGGGACACCTGGCGCTGGACGCCGGGGTAGATGGGCCATCCGGCGACGTGAACCTGCTCGCCCTGGGAGACGTTGAGGGACTTGAGGAAGGGGTTCATGTTCTCCCAGCAGTTGAGCTGGCCGACGCGGCCGATCTCGGTCTCTGAGACGGACATGAAGGTGTCGCCGGAGCCATCACCGTAGACGAGCTTCTCAACGTGGGTGGGCTTGATCTTGCGGCGGTGGTTGATGATGGCGCCGGTGGGGTCGATGAAGACCTGGGCGAGGTAGAGGGTGGCATGGTCAAGCTCGGCGAAGCCCATGGAGACGAAGATCTGGTTATCGCGGGCGGCGCGGCGGATACGGCGCATCTCCTCAGAGTCGACGCGGAGGGAGTTCTCGCGGTACTTCTTGAGCATAGGGAGGGACTGAAGGTAGGTGACCTTCCACATCCAGTAGGGGTAACCGGGGATCCCTGTGGGGGTATTAGCATGCTGAAGAAGTTTGAGGCCAGGAGGGGTCACTTACAAACTTCGGGGAAGGCAACAAGCTTGCAGCCGGCCTGGCCAGCCTCGTTGATGAAGTTGATGGTCTTCTGAACACCACCCTCAAGGTCGAACCACTAGGAAAGTCAGTTATCAGTGGAAAGGGAGGAAGATGGCATCGAGGCTTACACCGGGCTCGGAGGTGACGGCGGCGGCCTTGTACTTGGTGATAGGCATGTTGGCGGGTGTTGTTATCGAAAAGATTCGAAGGGAGTTGAGTCGATGATTGTGTGAGACTAGAAGTCTTGATGATTGATGATCTTGTGTGAGTGTGATGATCTGGAAGGAAAAAGAGATGAGGCAAGTCGCGATGCTGAAGCCTTTTTATGATTTCTTCTTCCTCTCAAAACTGACTTTGTTGAAATTGATTGACTAATTCAACGCCGTCGGGCTTTGCGAACCATCTTGCAGACTGCATTTGACAAGTTGCATTTCTGAGTTCTTCAACACAGGTTGATGTCAGTTGCTCGCTTGATTTACAAACGCCGTATGTGGTACTACCTATTGATGCGATCCGGGCATTCGGGTCCATTTGCGCAAGTTTCTAGTCCGCATTTCATTTCCATAGGCCGCCAACACCTTTGTGGCGTGACTGATGTTCGAGAAGTTCCGAGCTGACGAACAGTAACCAGACGGACAGGCTGTGACACGACTCAGGCAATGCGGATACCAACATCATTCCTCACAGGTGGTAGGTAGCAGAGACTCGGAAGATCGCGCATCAAGCAGTCCCCTTGGACCTAATTCCGAGCCATGCGAACTTCGTCCGGGTGCCACGGGAAAGCTGGGCAAAAGCCGCGCTGCAGAATGGCATGTTGCCTCTGACGTAAACAGCACTCCGACTGCCGTTTTGCTCCGGGTCGATCAGGCGAGATCTTGTGGGTGCTCTTAATTTAGTTCCCGTCTTCCCGGCAGCGGCGCGGTTCTCAACGTGCAGCTGGCCGGGGGGCCATCGCCGTTTGTGGATCTCCGGGATCTGGAGATCTCAGTGCGTTCAAACCCCGCCAGATCCAAACACCTACATCGTCTGATGTTCGGGGACGCCTCGATCCCGATAATCTGTGGGGAACCATGGGTGTCAGTCACGGGAGAGAAGGAATTTGCTAAATACTATGTGGAATTGTTCCTATCCACTACCGATCTGATAATGCTGTCTCTGCTGTGCGTATGGGCGACCTTGTGCTCTGCAACGAATTGAATGCTCGCGAAACACAGCTCTTCTTTCCGTTCGCGTATCGACCCATGTCATCATTGCGTCTCCCGACTGTCCTCGAACCAAAGCATTTCCTCAAAGGCCCTAACGCCTCATCCTATACTCAAACACAGTCTTCACCCAATGCTCCCTCACCCCCTGTCTCCAACTCTAGTGCTTCGTATATTGCTCTGCGTTCTGCCCGCTTCTGCTTCACTTCTTGAGGAGATAGTCGCGCTTCAGGAGAACTTTCATGATAGCCTTGGAGCGAGAAGGCTGTTCCTTGTAGGTCGGGTTCGGGTTGCCGAGCTTGTCCCAGAGGCTGGGAAGGCCGGCAGCACCCCACTTGTCGCGGAGATCATCGTAAAACTCCTTATCGTAAATTCGCCAGAATTCCTCTTCCGTGTAGTAGTTGTCACCGTAAACCACCTTGATACCGCCGAGATCGCGAGTAGCCTGCTCAATCATCTTGTTGTCCCGGATGAATCGCTCAAAGGCCTCGGGGCTGTCGCGACCTTGAACGTCATCAGGCCCGTGGATGGTCTTGGGACCCCACAATCGTACATTGACATTGATATTGTGGCAACGTTCACGGTTGCGACTGTCGGAAATGACTCTTACGGGGCAGATCCAGACAGGATAAATCCCCAAGTTGTTGTTGACCCAGTCGAGGAAGGCCGCAACGGTGTTTCCCGGCAGCGTAATATCTTGAAAGAACATTTTGCGGTTGTGTCTGCTATGATGGATACTAGCGAACAAGCACTCACCCTTCACGATGGGATTGAGAAGAAAGCGTGTAAGACCGTTGAAGGTATCGGGATTCTGACCGTAAACTCCCATCCAGAAAGAGGCTCTATCGTATCGGAAGAGATAATCCTTGATCGGTACCAGGTCAGTGACTATGCCTCTCTTGTCGACTGAGCGAGATTCCGAAAGCGTGCAGAGCATGCAATTGGTTTCTCTGACGTGAGAGACCGACTCGTGCACATGTAGAGCGAACCACTGATCATGAGCTCGGCTGAAGCGAACGACAGGCATGCCCTGCTTCTTCTCGTCCGTCATGGTGCCAGTAATGATGACACCATCGTTTAGGCCGAACATAATGGCATCGACGAAATCGACGGGCGAAGTGTCGGCGGTGTAGGACTGCATAGTGTTCAAAGCTTCGGCGGCGGAGTGAACTGGGAGATAGTTGAGCTCGACAAATCGGCGAGCAGGAACAAGCTTGACTTCGATGATTGTGCATAAACCGAGAGTACCACAAGAGCCAGCGAGACCACTAAAGAGGTCCGAGTTCTCGACGGGCGAGGCGGTGACGATGTTGCCGTTTCCAATGATGACCTCGAGAGAAGCGACAGACTTTTCAAAGTGACCATAGCGGAATGAAGAACTCTCGAGCGCAGTGCCGGAAAAGGCGCCGCCCACGGTGATGCCAGGGAACTCAGGGACAACGGCAGGAATGAGGCCGTGCTTGAGCGTGGCCGTGACGAGAGTCGCTATTGGTACATTTGGTTCCACGGCCGCGCGGCGCCGGCGAGGGTCGACAGTGATGACATGATCCAGCCCACTGATGTCGATGATCTCATCCGCCTGTCGGGTGCTGGGCCGGGTGCTGTTGGTCGTCTTGTGATAAACGCGATATTTTATCCCGTCGCGAGCGAATTGTCTAGCCTTGGCGGCGATGACGCTGACGCGCCGGCGATGCTTGATCAAGCGATACTCCGTCTCGATGGATTCGGCCATTTTTCCATGAAGTAGACGTGAAATGATTGAAGACTGATAAGGATAGGTCCGACGAACTACTTGAAGCTTCCGAGGGTGAAACAAAAATGTGGTGGGAATCGGCGGTTGGTGAGGTGACAAGTCTCAAGGAAAGCAACTCGACTGGAAAATAGAAAGTTGGAAGGAGGTATAGGCAACAGGGAAAAGTCCTCTGACCTAATCAACCACAGCGGGGTGAGGGTATCTAGATGGAGGAGGCCGGAAGGATGAGGAACTTCTTGGAAGACCAGTTCCGTGCCATGAACCCTGGGCCTTGTGAGAGAATCCGTGGCCAGGCATTGAAAAGGCATGATGCTTATTGCCTCGTCGTATGTTGTGTGTGGGCGTGGCTGAGAAGGCGAGTGCAGGGGATGACTGTGCCTTCATTGTCTCTCATTGGTAACATAAAGAGGTAAGACGGGAACCATCTTATGGCTCTCACAACAAAAGGAGAATAGAAGGAAGGTTCATTGTGACAGTTTTCAAAGGCGTGTCAGAACGTCGCTGTTCGAATCTCACTCGGCATACCAGTATAGGAGGCATGGGTCAAGACTGATCAGTATTGCTTTCAATCAGGTTTCAAGCTCCTTGTATCAGAGTGCAAAATATTGCCCATAGTTGAAGGGTGAATGAAAAGAAAGTATTCAAGCGAGAACTTGATCACCTTCACTTGTATCTCGAAAGCCTCATAGCTTACGATGAATGAGATCATAGATGGGGAATATCCCAAGCCTCACTTTCTCAGTCTTACACGAATGTTTGCTTGATCATCTCAACTGGGCGGATGTAATGTTAGTTGCCTGGCATCCAATCAGCTTATCACATCAAAGGTGCGATGCAAGTGAAGTTGTGACGAAGTTGAAAAAGCAGTAAGGGTGTTGGCAAACAGCTATCCGGTCTGTTCAGATAAATTAGCACACATTCACTCCTATGCTTTGGACGAAAGCTCAAATGTGATTCACTACAATGAGCCAAGTGAGGCATGTAGTGAGTATATGAGGCAGCTTATCCTGCTGCGATGAGACTCATTTTTTACTTAACACCTCAAACCTAATTATGCAGGAAGAAGCGAGAAAGGCAGTCACCGGTGCTCTTGACTTTGTAGAGCACCTCGGTTTGCTTGGGTGGAAGGAGTCATCCCACAAACAGTCAAACACCAGGCAAGAAGCATCACCACCAAATATCCTGCGGGAAAGACAGAATTACGCAATTTCCTCAAGATTTTGTTCCTGATGTTGGGAAACCACCAGTAAAACAGACGAACTTCCATTTCCACGCCCCCTGGTGGTCGCCCAACATCGACATCCAGTCTTCAACATCATATCATCCATCCACACACTAGTCTCTAGACTCCCACCAGATTCCCCCCCAATAGCCGACGGATACCCCAAGCATCTATATGCACGCGCCGAATACAGCCTTTTACCTATTCAGCCATGTTCTCGTCAACACTGCGTGCGATGCGAGTCAGGGATGCCCGGAAACAGGCCAAAATGTTCGAAAATGCATTTGAACGGGCGATGGAACTGGCCAGCCCTGAAGTGATAACCGAGTTTGCTGCCTCCAATCTGGAGGTGTCATATGATTCCGACTGGGATCTGGAAGAGGGTGCAGAAGAGAACATGGAGTTTTGGGATGATCCACCTGTACGCGAATCCGAAAACGGTTCGAAAAGCGGGAAAGGGAAAGAACCGGAGGAACGTCTGCCATTCGTCTATCAGCCACCTCATGAGAATGATCCCGCGGACCAGCGTTCAGATATCAACACTCTCCTATGGTTACTTGCTGCCACAGATGTCGAATCCGATCAAAGCAGACGCAATACACCAAGAACGGAACCCAGCAGCAGCTCAGACGTATCCATGGGTGATGCCGAGGACCTTGAACAACGCGATACAGAGATGGCAGACATACAAGCCGAACCAGGGACTCAAAGTTGCAAGCGAGAGGGCATATCAGTCACAGAAAAATTGACCCTAGGCAACCCACTCGAGGCAGAAGCCGATATACCAATGAATGACGCACTGTCGGCAACGAGTCAAGGAGATTCTGGAAAGAGATTTCCCCCAGGAGTTTATATCGAACACGTGGAGAATGTTGAGAATGATGGAGGCTTGGAGCGGAAAGAAGACGACGGATCGCTTGAAGCGGCACAGCTCGAGAGTTCATCCGAATCTGCCATGGCACAAAATGATGATCAACAGCAAGTGGAGTGCCCCAGCATGGAGAAGAGACCTTCCGCTATCTCGGTCGAGTTTTTGGAGGGCATCTGGCATCATTATCACGAGCTGCAAGAGTTTTGCGAATGGGAAGAGGCGCACGAGTGGAATCGAAAGAACCTTCGCAAAATGCTCCGAGAACCCTTGAATGATAGTCGAGCCCGCCATCGACAGCGCTCTCCGATGCCATACCCCCGGTATGGACGATCGAGAAGCCCGTTGGGAGTCACCGTGATGACAGAGGGGGTTGAAGAAGACAGACAGTCGGCGTACGCGGCAGAGAATATGAAGTGGTAGTGACATGGAGACTGAATGGCGCCTTGGAGTATCTAGTATAGCATGCTCGACGTTTTGGGGAGCTTTTCGGTATCGTTGGATATTGGCATCAGCGGGGCTTTCTGTCAGTAGTAGAGGGACTGGGTGTAATAGCGAACATCACGGTTTTATGATTGCGTTAGACTCACACTGGAAGTAGCGCCAAGCTTGGAAATTCATTTTGGTCCATTGACTCAACGTCTTGTGTTTGCAAATACTGTACGTTGCGAGAGTATTGTAACCCTTGAATGATGCTGAACGTGACCCTTACTCTCATTAAAGTTTCTCGCCGATGCTCCCGAAAACCGGCTTGGGCTCCGTCTCATCGCCATGTTTTTCAACGGAATCCTCTGTGTCGTTCCTGATAGACGTTCTAGAAAAAACTGGTGACTCATATTAGCCTTTTGCTAGACGTTTAGTTGCGGAAAACTTACGTGCATCCATCTCTTCAAGAGATTTCCCCTTAGTCTCCTTGATGAAGAACCAGACAAATACGACGAGTGCCCAATTGAAGATGCAAAACATCAAGAATGTCTTCCACCCAAGGTTCTGAACGGCGTGTGGCGTCGCTTGGGAGAAAACAAAGTTGAAGAGCCATTGTGTTGAAGTGCCGATGGCAATGCCAGCTTCGCGGATTCGAGATGGGAAGATTTCACCCATGTAAACCTGGATCTCGGTCAGTGGCGTCCTTTGAAGGTGCAAGAATGTTTCAAACTTACCCATGGTGCTGGACCCCATGAAATGTTGTACGACATGGCTTCGAGGTAGATCATCGTCATTGAGGCGATGGCTGTCGAGGTCAAACCCTGGTCTACGGATTTGGGCGGGTGGGTTGCGGTGAGGCAGGCGATAATGAGCATGTAAGTCCCCATCAGGAATGCTCCACCCAACAGCGAACCGCGGCGTCCGATACGTTCGACGAGGAAAAGAAGATAGAAGAGACATGACACGACCTTGACCAGACCGAAGAAGCCTGTGATGAGGAGGTTATTCTGACCTGCACCTACGGCTGCGAACACTTGCGGGGCGTCTGCGGATAATGTCAGTGTTTAGGAATTGGGAAACACGAGTATGGTTTCTTGGATCTTACAGTAGGCCAGAGACGTGTTGCCAGTGAGTTGAACACCTAGAAACTATGTCAGCCCTGGTCAAAGGGGTGTATGTTGCATGCTTCTTTGGATGGGTACCGATTTGTAGAGCAATGATGAGAAAAATGCGGTATCGGTTGACAGGCTGGATCAGCTCTCTCCATGTGAGTCCCTCTTTTTGGTTTCTCTCTTCTTCGATACTGGCAATAATTTCGGCAAACCTGCGGTCTCATCAGCATTCATGCTACTCTTCATCAAACCGAACAGCTCACTCTTCTTGGACTTCGGGCGCATCACCACCCCGAACCCAAATCAGAGACTGCAGTGCTTCCTCCCTCCGTCCAGTCCTGGCCAGCCATCGTGTACTCTCCTTGCAAAGCAGCATGCCCAATCCGAGAATCGCCCCAGGAACGAGTTGCAAGCCGACAGGAATCTGCCACTGCCTCGTTGAAGACTTGACATGCTTGCTCACACCGTAATCAACAAAGTAGGACGTCATGACACCCATCGTGAAAAAGAACTGGAACATGCTGCCGAGCATTCCGCGGATGCTCTTAGGCGCCATCTCTGCCGAGTACATGGGGATCACGACGGTGGCCATGCCTACGCCAACACCGCTGACGACTCGAGCGACATAGAAGGCGGCGAGGGAGTGAGTGTTGATTGTTTGAACGATTGCGCCGGCGCAGAATATTATTGAGGCGAGGATGATTGACCATCTTCGGCCGTATTTCGCGGTGAAGGGCCAGATGAAGAAGCATGAGAAGAAAGCTGTTGGTTAGACAGAATTAGCAGAGGCTCTCTGACCGTAAAAAAATCTGAGAAGTGGCAGACCTCCTGCCTGTAGCAGACTTGTTGAGTTTGACCCGACGTTGGCTTTCTGGGACGGGCCATAACGAAAGTCCTCTTGGAAACCTTGGAAGGTGAGGATACCACCAATGATACCAGTGTCGTATGCAAACAAGAAAGACCCTACGCAGCACAAAGCTACGAGGTAGAATGCTCGAAATGTCCCTAGTTTCGACATTGTCAATGGTGATTTGTGAAAGGTCGAGGCTCGATTGATTCACCAACCTGTCGTCGAGTGATTATGAACGACCACAGGCTGTCTTATGTACGGAGGCGTATCCTAGATGCTGAACAGCAAGCTCAAGACTCTGCATCTCCCGAATGGGATAGAAGTAAAAAAAAATATTCCATAGGGGAAAGCAGCTCTAACCAATTCGTCGTCGCCGGCTCAGCACGCAATGCTAGAGTGCCCAATAGCTGACTATCGCAGCACCGAACAGACGAACTCCTGGAGCCATATTCAGAGTGCTTCCAGCACGCCATACGGCCTCCGTTTCCAGGAGCAGGGGTCAGCCATGGACAAACAGAAAGAGGCCCAGTGTTTCCTCTCTTCACTCGGAATGTGGATGCCGGTAGTCGGCCGGGACGCTCAATCTGGGATGGCCTCAAGGCCGGATGTGTCCCCACTTGCCCGTTTGAGATGCCGGACCGACTACCGAAGCCTCCGGGAGAGCGTTTGGGGGAAGCTCCGGCGAGATACAGGGGTGCCGGTCTTCCGTTCCTGTTGGTTTTCTGAGAGGTGCATTTTGAAGATGCTTCGGCAAGGTAACATGCCATGTTCGATTCGCGTCAAAATATGTTGCACATCACTTGAGCAGCTCAAGAGCTTCATTGCCAATGGGCAAGATTATGGGGCATAGCTTTGGAGGGGCTTTGCTGCAGGGTTGGAGCTATCCCAAGCTTGATCCCATGCCCCTTCATTCAGTCACTCATTGTCATTAAAACCCTCCAAACAACTGAAGTCTCGCCTGCATCCTTCACATTTCAAACTTCTCCTCTGTTGTCGCTCCTCAGCTGTCGCAAATACTGAAAATGACGGATACAAGGCCCAACATCCTCTTCATCATGGCTGATGACCATGCCTCCAAAGCCGTCAGCGCCTACGGAGCTGGCATCAACCACACTCCAAATATTGACCGGCTCGCAGCGGAGGGAATGAAGTTCAACCACTGCTATGTCACCAACTCCATTTGCACTCCGTCCCGCGCTGCCATTCTCACGGGTACCCATAACCATGTCAACGGCGTCATGACGCTGAACGACAACATCAACAAGCACTTGCCAAACGTCGCGAAGCACATGCGTACCGGCGGGTACAGGACGGCAATGGTCGGCAAGTGGCACTTGGGCGAAGGCAGACCACACGAGCCCACCGGCTTCGACTACTGGTCTGTCCTCCCCGGGCAGGGCGATTACTGGGACCCCGCGTTCATTGAGCCAGCGGGAGAAAAGGTTGAAGATGGCTACGTTACAGACATCATCACCGACAAGTGCCTCGACTGGATCTCCAAGACAAAAAACACCGACAAGCCCTTCTTCCTCATGTGCCACCACAAGGCTCCGCACCGCTCGTGGGAGTGCGACGAGAAGTACAAGGACCTTTACAAAGACCCGATACGCGTTCCCGAGACATACGATGACGACTACAAGAACCGCGCAAAGGCTGCAAAGGTTGCAAAGATGCGTGTTGCAGAAGATATGACGTACCAGGACCTGGGCCTTGTGCAGCCAGACGGTGGTAACAAGGTCGGCGAGCGTGTCGTTCAGGAGGCGGGTTCTGCGCAGCGCAAGATTCCCGTTGATGCCAAGAGACTGATCGATAAGGAAGATGGGACAGTGTTCACCTTTAAGAGCCAGGACGACCTTGCTCATTTCAAGTTCCAGAGGTACATGCAGCGATACCTGCGAACCATCCAGTCTGTCGACGACAATGTCGGGCGAATGCTTGACTACCTCGAAGAAAACGGGTTTGCGGAGAACACCATTGTGATCTACACCTCAGACCAGGGCTTCTTCCTTGGTGAGCACGGATGGTTCGACAAGCGATTCATGTACGAGGAATCTTTCCAGATGCCCTTCCTCATTCGATACCCGGCGGGAATTGCCAAAGGCTCTGTTTGCGACGACATCATCTGCAATGTCGATTTTGCGCCTACCTTTCTCGATTTCGCAAACCTTCATGTCCCAAGCTACATGCAAGGCGAATCTTTCCGGCAGTTACTGGAGGGGAACACACCAGCAGATTGGCAGCAGATTGCCTACCACCGGTACTGGATGCACAATGATATTATCCACCACGCCTATGCGCATTATGGCGTCAGAGACCAGCGATACAAACTCATCTACTGGTACAACGAGCCGTTGGAGGCCAGTGGCGCTAGGCCGGGCGGAGAGAAGGATAAGGAGTGGGAGTTGTTCGATTGCGAGAAGGATCCATTGGAGCTGTTCAATGTTTACCACGACCCAGCTTACGCCGAGAAAGTGAAGTATATGACGAGACTGCTAGAGTTGAAGATGGAACAAATCGGCGACGAGCCAGTTCATCCCAGAGGTGTTGATACTGGCGGGTCAGTGAGTTTAGCAAGCAAATTGTAAGGCAGAACCAAAGATATGCTACTTCTTGTAAGCATGACTGCTTGACTACGATGACAGATCAGGGTCATATTTCAATGATAGTCTCTGGATATGCACGATCAAGACTTCAATAGTTGTCATATCGGATGACTTGAATCGAAAGTCAATTATGAGAACCTCGCAGTGGCATGTTGGAGATTCATGGTGGAGAGGTGGATTCGATCTCCCAGCAAGGGTTCGTCGAAGTGAACAGGGATGAACCGCTCGCCAACTCCCGTAATTGGCTCACCAGGGCCCATTCCTGGATGTCGTTACCCTATCCACTCCTCGCGTCATGGCAGTCTAGCTCGAGTAGGTAAAGTGTAGACTCCCTCCGCATTCATGTTTGCGCTCTCATGCAGAGAGATCCGGAGAATCATTCAAGAAACCCGGTTCCGAGGACGAGGAAACAGACTTCGAGTGAGAAGGCGGAATCCAAACCTTTCCTATCGTCCATCCATCCCCCGAAATCCATCCCGCCGGCTTGCTCAAACGACTCCTCCGACACATCATGCTTGCTCAAGCTCCAGCTTCCATGGCATAGAATTATTATCAACTTCTATTGTAAAGTTACGGAACCGAACGACGCTGAGTTGCGGCAGGGCACTGCAACATGAGACGAGGTCGACAATGAAGTGCCAGGATGCCAAAGTTTCAACAACAACATGATGGACTCTTTCGTTGGCTGCTTTCAAGCTGGCCCAAGCACGACGCGTCAGACTTGTTCTCAATGCCGGTGGCGCAAGGTCAGTCCGCTGGAATCGTACCGTTGGTCTGTGGCCGTGAATTGACCTGAATCAGGTCAAGTGCGAAGGTGGCAGTGAACTGCGTTGCGGCACGTGTGCTCGTCTTGGGCTGGATTGTTCGCTTGCCGCCATCGAGGAAGTTGGACCAGATTTTCACTTTGGCAAGCAACATCTGGTCTCCACCAAGCCGCGACGCCTCAGAGGCACCCGGGCGTGTAAAGCTTGTCGAGAAAAGAAAGTCCGCTGCTCCGGCACATCACCGCGATGCACAAACTGCGCGCGCCATGCTAGAGAGTGCACATACCCGACGCCGGCACGAAGTGCGAGGGCATCTTCCCCGCAGAGCACCTCTACCGAGGGAGACGAGCCCTGCGGAGTCGAAGTCGGCCAATTCCTCCCCGGCGCCGTGGAAAGCTTCTTCGAGAAGGTTTACCCTCTTCCATCCCACGCATTTCTGCACCCCGAGACGACCAGGGAGCGTTGTCGAGAGGGGAGGATTGACTCAGCCCTGGCACACGCCATCTGTGCTTTGGCGACCCTTCACTGTGGTTCGGATCTTCAGACTCGCGACAGAGCTACGCCGTGGGTTCAGACGGCGGAACAAAAGATATGGCAGCACCTCGAGAGCCCTACCATACCGCGTTTGCAAGCCCTGCTGCTCGTGATTCACTATCAAATGGAGACTGGAAAGTTCCAGAGAGCGTTCATGCTTACGGCTACTGCGGCTAGGTTTGCAGCTGCGATGCGACTGAACCATGAGAGGCCTGATCTCGACTTTGTCGCGCAGGAAGTACGCCGTAGGATCATGTGGTCGCTGAAGATTACTGAAAGGTACTTTTCAGTTGGCTTGCCCGAATTTGAAGCGTGTCCTATCGAAACGATTTACCTGCAATACCCCTCAGATGAGAATGATTTCAGCAATGATGGAGATTGTGGTGATGGGGCCTCCTATAGACTCTACGTGAGACTGGAAATAACTCGGAGGGACATTATGAAGTTGACAAGAGGAGTGACTCTTTGCGACCAGCCTTTCTTGCCTTTGACGAAACTCATTGGCGACTTCGAAGGCGACCTGGGCGAAATCGGATCGCTGTTGCCAGACGGAACGAACTTTTCTATGGTCAATATCGGAGCCCTTGAAGGCGACCGATGGCTGCGGAGACGGCTATTCATGCACATTTCATTCCACCAAGCCCATTGCGACCTGTACCGAATCCTGCTTTCAGGATATCCCGAAGCAGCACCTCGCGTGGTTCTCGAGGCAGTAGACATGGACTACATCACCATGGCAGAACAAAACTGCCTTAAACATGCCACCGCCATCATTCAGATCTTGACCAGCCTCAACCAACACAGCACAGAACTTCTGCTTCTCGAATTCGACACGGCTATTTGCGCCTACCACGCCACGAGGCTCTTGCTTTTCATAGCCCGAGCACAAAGAACGCCGGGCTGTCCCTCACCAGAGTTTGCCTTGAGCCGCGCGGCTTTGTGTCTGGCTGCGCTTCAGCGTTTCTTTCCTTCCTCCGCACTGGTCAAGCCCATCATCGACGATATGGAGCGACTTTCCCGGGGCCATGCACCTCAAGAAGCCGGGATAGGCGGGCTATCGTCGCCAGAGTTTCAAGAAGGAAGACGGAATCTAGAACAGCGACTTTCAGAGGTAGCAAAAGCGAGACAGAGGCTGGCAATTCACAGTCTGCTGAGACAAGCCGACTTTACCGACGAGGATGAGGGAGACGATTACTCTTCTTCCATGTCTGCGTCCGGCTTGTCTCCAATCATGATAAGGCGAACGCCCTAGACTCTAGAGGCAGCTTCTAGACTCGGACAGTGGCGGCAGCAGGTCCGGGATGCGTACCCCGCGAAAGAGCAGAGTTTCTACGTCCGCAGTTCGGATAGCTGCGGGCGGCCTTTCTGACGAGGCACCGTTCTGATGAAACTGGTGGAGACGCCTGACTAGCAAGTAACTATGCATTTGGACTCGCTTACTGGTGTCAGCAACAAACATATTAACCGAGTTTGAACTTGTGGCTCTTGTTACCATTCCTGAGTATGCAAACTCTCTGTTTCTCGTCAAGGTGGAGCTTGGTGTGTTAAACTCTGGCATAGGGAATAAGAAACCAATAAGAAGTTGTAAAAGTTGGTGCATGCGCTTATGCATAGAGCAAAGACGATGATGTGACACGCTCCACGCGATACTTGCTCATACCAGGTGCGCAATATGATCGAACCCAGTAGAGTGGAAAGCGACATCCAAGCCACCAAGAAGGCGGTTCGTGGAGCTGAAATAGAGTTTGTCTTTTTCCGCAGGTTACTTAAGCTATTCTGTAGTGTTATATATTTTTCTGTCAAAGGCCCCTCTCCTCTGTAACCACTCAGCGTTTCAGTCCGGCCTCACGGCGTTCCCGTTCTCTGGGTTGACAAGAACGTACATGTCAGGCGCCGTCTCATGTCCCCTGTTGACATGACTCAACAACAAGGCAAACACGATGATGGCTCAGAGGAACAGGTCAAGAACAACATGAATTTCGAGATGGCGGGCAAGCAGAAAGAGATAAATATCGTTGAAAGCCCGCCAAGATGGTTGGAATAATAATCATCTCCAGCGCACCATCTTACTATTCACTCAACGATTTCATCAACTTTATCACACATAATACCTAAATCAGACTTTCCGGTTAAAGTCCAGCAAAATGAAGTTCTCCGCCGTCATCCTCTTTGTTGCTTCAGTCGCCGCCGTTGCTCTCGATACCGATGTCCCTCCTGCGCTCAGCCAGCCTGGTCGCCGTGGTGTTGACTGCGGGGCTTGCGACAGACTGAACTTCTGCCCCGGCAAGCCCAACAACAATGTCGAGTGCGAGCTTGACGGCTGCTGCAAGAAGTAAACGAATTCCTCGGGCTTCCAACTGAAAATTGAGATATCAACATGTACGTCATCAGATCTATTTTCTTTTTAAATCTTAAGGTGCGATACACAAGCTAACAATCACGCAGACAGCGCGCTTCGGATACCCATCACGGTTGCCGTATTTCTGACATGTGGGAACTTGGTGAAGTCAACGTTCAGATGAACAAAGGTCTTAGCAACCTGATCTCAACTACCTTACCTTACCCAATACAATTGTTCAACCAATTTATTTGCCAACTCTGATCGGATGAAAGAGTGCGAATATCATTTTACACCAAAGTTGCGTTCAACCTCTGTAGATCTTGGGTTCTCGAACTGTTCCCAATCCAGAAGTGGCACAGTCCTGTCTCGACTTGCCATTTACCGTCGACGAAGTAACCTAACTCGGCGTAAGGCACATTGAAGCTGACCTGTGAGGAGCTGCCTGCTGCGACTTCAACCTTGCCAAAGCGAATAAGCTTCATGACCGGGAACTCGATTTGACTGTACTCTGGACGATAGTAAAGCTGCACCACCTCCTGGCCATCTCTCGACCCCGTGTTCTTGACTGTCGCAGAGACAGTGACTTGGCTGTCCTTGTCACATTGACTGACAGTGCTGTTGTTACCCACTGAGTGGCATTGGAGAGAGACGGAAGAAATGTTGAAAGTCGTGTAGCTCAAACCAAAGCCGAATCTCAAAGGAGCATAACGTGTCAGTTCTGGCAAGTGCCAATCATACTGCGTCGCCGTCCCAAATCCACCCTGGTCATCGGACGGGAAATAGTCATAGGCCACAGGGAATGCGCCATCGGCTTCCGGAAAAGTGATTGTAAGCTTGCCACTTGGGTTCACACTACCAAAGAGGATTTCCACCAAGGCGTCAGCTGTGAATTCACCGGCGAGCCAAGTGTGGATGATTGCCTTTGCCCTCTTGGCCGACTCTTCCAGCAGGAATGTCTGACCCCCGCTGAGTACCAACACAGTCGGCACGTCGGCGTTGATCACCGCATCGAGAAGCTGCTGTTGCAACCCGGGAAATCCCAAGTGCGGATGACTGAAGCCCTCACCATCAGTCCGGTGAAGAGACTCGTACGAGTTGTCAAAAGACCCCCAGCCGGACCCGAGAACCACAACGGCAAGGCCCGCTTCCTTAGCTGCGTTGACAGCAGCCTCGATGCCCGAGCTGTCATTCGTGCGCAAGATGTCAACCCCTGCAACACACTTGACGTTTTCCGCACCAATTTCTCGCTCTAGACTTCGACGGAAGGTATCTCCATAGGAGGAATCTGAGGCGTTGTTGGCAGCATATTGGCCGGTATTGAGAATGTCGGCATAAGGGCCTAGGAGGGCAATTTGGGGCACTTCGCTGCGCTGCAAAGGCAGCGTGCCATCATTCTGAAGCAGCACAATTGCCTCGCGCGACACGTTGCGACTGATCTCAAGATGATCCTTGCTGCGAAGAGTCACGTTCAGATTCTCGACCGAGGGAAGAGGCAGATCAAAGGTTCCAGTAGCGAATTTGATCTCAAGAATCGCTCGGACAGAGCTGTCGACAAGTTCCATGACCTCGGTATCGTTCGAATAGTTGATGAGCGTGGGAAATACAGAAGGCGGTCTCGGTGAAAGTTCGTGCTCCAGCCCACCCCGCAAAGCCTTTAGTCCGGCGTCCGCAAACGACTTGGCGACCTTTGACTGAGTATACATGTTGCGAATCGAACCGGCGTCAGACATGATGAGGCCTTTGAAGCCGAGCATCTCCCGAAGAACCTTTCTGTTGAGGTACTTGTTCATGGACATGGGAACCTGATCGACGCTGGCATATGATATCATCAGTGACAAGGGGTTTGCCTCTCGAAAGGCCTTGACATAGGGGGCTCCGAAGTCATTGAGGATATAGTTCAGGCCACTCTGAATGCTCGCAGTGTTCACGCCTCCGCTGCTAGAGCCGTAGACCCAGTGCTTGATTGTCGTTGCGACTTTGACGAAGCCGTTCTCATCTTTCTCCTGCATCGTGTTGATGTAGTGCGTCGCAAATTCGCCGACGAGGTAGCTGTCCTCGCCAAACCTAGGTGAAGTCATTAGGAAGAAGTAAGATTGTTGTTCGAAAGCACTTACATCTCGCCGTTTCTCCCATTTCTGGGATCTTTAGCAAGGTCAACCTCGGGCGATAACACCCAACGAGTGCCCATCGCCACATTTTCGTCACGAATAGCGGCTACGGCTTGTTCGTAAAGAGGAATATTCCACGTCGATCCCATGGAAAGGGCGCCAGGGAACAGGGTGCCACCGGAAATCATGAGACCACTAACAGAGTCGGCGATGGTGATATACGGAATGCCTAGTCTAGTGTTGTTGATTTGCTCGGCTCTAACCTTGTTGGCGATAGGCAACAGATCATGCGCATAGTTTTGAGGCGCCCCGAAGCCTACGATATGATCAATATTGACGTGGAGATGTAGGAATACCAAATTTGGCTTACCGATCTGCCCCTTCTGAGTCTTCCGGATTTCCTCGAACAGCGTTTCGTTGTATGATATCTTGCCGTTAACAGTCTCTGCAAGTCGTCTTATCCCTACGAGTTCAGGTTACTAACACAGCCCGGCTTTCGCAAGCTTTCCGACTAACCTCCGAGCTGGCCAATCTTTTCCTCCCATGACATGAGACGCAAGAGGTCGTCAGCTCGCTCTGCGGGAGAGCGTGTCGAGTCGAGATAAGCTGATCCATTCGATGCAGCTGTAGCACAGCTAATATGAATGAACTGACAAAGCGCCAGGACCACGAATGAGGTTGCTGATTTGACCATCTTGACGACAATGCATAACACCCTGAGCGAAACCTGGGTATACTGAGAAAGCAAATGACAACATTTGCCAGGTTCTTCTCTATCTTTCTGAAAACCTTATATCTTCACTTAAAAAGCACGCCATTGTAAATGGTCCACCATCAACCAGGAGTTCGAGCCAAGACTCCACTCAAGAAAAGGCTCCAGGATTCCGGCAAGCAAGGCCGGGTCGGGTGCCCCACTTGGTTCGCCGGGGCTCCGAAGAGTCAGCTCGGATGTCGGTCGGTAGTCCTGAAGGGGGAAGGCTAGACCGGAGTCTACCCAATCATTCCCATTCCGTGCTGCGCGGTGAGGGATTGTACCATCCTATCCATGAAGAGCCATGGTGCTTAGAAGCCTCCAGGAATTAGTCGGCGACAGCTATTTGCTGTTCCAAGCTAACAAATGCCCCATCTCTGGATCCGGTCACCTCACTTAACAGGTGTCCTGGGAATGTAGCTAGAGTAGCTCATCACACCTCATTTTGGGTTCTGCGTTTGGTTTTTTTTTTTTTCTTTGCACGTAAGTATTCCCTTGAATCCAATTGTATGTCATCGAAAGCACATACAAGGTCCAATAGAAAGCGCTGAAAGTGTCTTAATGAGTTGCGTGTCGCTTCATTATCTACATGTCTATCTTGGGAGCTGTCGATAGTATTCCTATGCTTTGCTGCTGCCCTTGTTGTTTTCAGGTTGCCTAACGCTCCTCCACTCCAAAGCCAAAGCACCAAAGATGGCGAGACACACGAGGACCAGGCCAACCAGAAATACATGTCTGATCGCCTCATTGTAAGCAACCAGAGCTGTAGCCTTGATGGCGGCGGGGAGGTTTGTTAGGGAGGTGACACCGTTGTCCAAAATCTTCTGGGCATCAAGCCCGGGAACTGAAGAGAGTCGCTCAAGCAGCTGGGTATTGAGGATGTTCTGAGCGACAGCCAGGAAGATGGCTCCGCCAATGAGCTGGCCGAAGAACATGAGGGAGATTCCCATCGGCACATCCTTCTTCGGCAAGACTGTCTGGGCTGCTAGGTTTGGTGCTTGTGTTGACAGGCCCAACCCGAATCCGTAGATGATTTGGTATCCAATCCATTTGATGCTTTCAGTGTTGACCTCGAATGTGTAAATCAACCCAGCACCGACAGCCATCAGGCAGATACCTCCGATCATGAATGGTGTGTAGTAGCCGATGCGACGAACAAGGGCGCCCGTCATGAGCGTGGCGACTACCATTGAGAGCATGAGGGGTAGGAGACGGATTCCGGACTCGACGGCTGAGACGCCTTTGATAGCCTGGAACCAGATCGGTAGATAGTAGGCTGATTTCCCATTAGTCTGAGTAACGTGCGAGTTCTGTGCTGTTTGTGTAACTTACAGAATATCATCAGTTGGGATCCGTTACAGATGGTAGCGTAGACACCTGCTAGGATACTGCGCTGCGTAAAGATTCTGCCAGGGAGCGTGGCTGTCTTGGGCATGAAGATCTGGACCAGGGCAAACCCGGCGAGAAGAATAACTGCGAGCACCAACAGAAGAATGATTCTCCAGTTGTTCCACTAAGAGCCATGGTCAGAAGTGGCAACCAGATATGTTCCGGAGATGTAGACTCACAGCATACGTCGAGCCACCCCATTCCATAGCCAGAATGAGAGACACTGATCCAGGGATAAGCAGAGCGGTACCAAAAAAGTCAAGCTGCGCCAGCTTGGACTTCAAATCAAGCTTTGTGGTATCTCTATCAGGAATGGCAAGGATCAAGAAGATGATGATGCCTGCCAAGCCTCCCAAGGGGAGGTTGATATAGAAGCACCATCTCCAGGTGACTTTTGAGGTGAAGACGCCTCCAAGCAGTGGTCCGACCACGGAAGAGACGCCGAAGATGGCACCGAAGAATCCTTGGTATGTGGGACGTTTGCGAAGCGGGACGGCATGCACGATGATGACAACCTGAGGGAATGCGGGTTAGACCTTGATTTGACTGCGGGATAGTAGACCCAAGACTTACTACGCCGCTGAGGATACCAGCCGCACCAAGTCCAGCAATAGCTCTCCCAATAATGAATGACACCGAATTTGGAGCCGCGCCACAGATTGCGGATCCAACTTCGAAGAGGAAAAGGGAAGTAAGGAACGTGCCCTTGACGCTGAAGAACGTGTAGAGTTTGCCGAAGAGGAGTTGTGAAGCGCACTGGGTAAGGAGATATGCCGATCCGTACCAGCCTATGTCAGTGACGGAGTGGAACTCGTCGGTGATTTGGGGGATGGCTGTTGTGATAATCATGCGATCCTGTGAAACGGTCCCGTTAAATTATTGTCTCTAGTTATACGTGGTGTGGTTGTACAAAGTTAACTTACCAAGGAAGTCAAAAACATGCACATGAAGGCAGACGACATGATGCAGGCGAACTTGAGTCCTGTCGGATATTCTGTGTCATCTACGGACTTTCCTCCATCCTCGAGCTTCTCTGAGACGTTCTTCTCGGTCTTGGTATCATTGTTGTTTAGTGATGGCTCAGCAACAGTCGAAGCTCTTGACTCGTTGTCGTGGGATGGTGTCGATTCAGGATGTGTGCTTGATGGGGTTGCCATCTTGAAGGTTTTGTTGACGTTAAAACGTGTCGGGATACTGGGATTGGACTTTTGGCGGACTTGGTACTGGAAGTAGACTACTTTGACCAGATTAAAGCATTAGATATTGGGTGGACCAAGTGATTGAGATCTGAAGTAAGGTTGAGGCTGTTGAGCTGAAAAGACAAGAAGCCAAGACCTCGGGATGCCATTTCTTTATACATGTTTAAGAGAAATAATATCTTTCAAGAGACTGACTTTTGAAAAGTCCGTTGTCGGAAAACGGCAAGAACAAGCTATCGTAGACCCATTGCTGATGCATCTTTGGTTTAGACCGTCGATCCTCCCAGACATCTCGGGCCCGAAATATCCAAAAGAGGCTAGACTCCTTAGTGATCCTCATAATAAGGATGGAGCAATTCATCAGACGGAAGCCGAAAAGAAACGCTAAACTTCTTTGAGACCCGAGATCCCCGACATCTTCCTTCGCGCCATCCCGACGGGCATCCTTCACCACAAGTAACCTCACAACCGTTACCGGACATTTTCCAAAAGTCCGGGATGGGTCCGAATATCTTATGAGAATCAATCAATCAAATGTGCATGGATACTTGTTTCGCCTCAAGCAATCCGTCTCTCATTTCTCTGCCTAAGTTCTGCCCATGGCGACCCCGCAACCGACAGCTCTTCAAAGGCAGCATAAGCACGCGTGCTCGCTCTGCGCAAAGAGGAAGATCAAATGCGACAAAGCTGAGCCATGTTCAAACTGCACAAAGGCACAGGCACAATGCCTCTACGAAGGACCAGCTCCGCCGCGACCTCGAAAACGAGCTGCTGACGAGGAGCTCCTTGCGCGCTTGGCCGCATACGAGGACTTGATGCGGAAGCACGATGTCGACTTTACGCCGTGTTCTCATGGTTGGATTACGTCTGGGCCTCAGGGGCGGATCAAGCAAGATAAATCTGAGGCGATATCCTCTGCGACGTCTCCGCTCGATCACCAGAGCTCAACGACTCAAGTGTTGAAGGGTATTCCCTTGACAACAGAGCGGTCAGTGTTAGAACGGAGTAGAATATGGCGTCACTTGCTGATTAGACATACTCAGTTGTCTTTGGTCAACTCTCCCGGCAGAGGTAAGAGTCGCCGTGCTGTTGAATAGACGACTAATATCTGACTTGCATTACAGCTCATGTACCCGCCCGTGCAGTGCCTCACTCGTAAAGAAGACCCTCTGCATATCCCAACGCCAGCGCTTCATGTTTTGATGACGACCGTTCAACCCGAACTTTCACAGCTCCACCCGGACCCAAGGCACATCTGCCGATTTTGGCAGATCTTTGTCGAGGCGGTCAACCCATTGTTGAAGATCATCCATGTGCCGACTCTACAGCAGCAGGTCCTGGACGCAAGTTGGAACCCGGCCGGCGCATCAAAGCCGCTTACAGCCATGCTATTCGCCATTTACACTCTAGCTGTCACCTCCACGTCCATTGAAGGCTGCCAGACTACCTTTGGCGAGGCCAGGAGCACGCTCATACTGCGCTATCGGACCGCTGCTTTGCGTGCTCTCATTGCAGCCGACTTCCTCACCACGCGAGACTTTGAGGTTTTGCAAGCCTTTGTTCTTTTTCTCTTTTCTGACCCAGATTCGGAGCTGACATCCACTCTGACCGGCGCCGCAATCAGGATCAGCCAGAAAATGGGTCTGAACAGACCAAAGCCAGATCCAAAAGTATCGGTATTTGAGACTGAAATGCGTATACGTCTATGGTGGCAGTTGAACGGGTTGGATTCTAGAGTGAGAATCGTCAAAATTGCGGGCATGCGACTCCCACCATCCGAAAGTGATTTCGGGGATGTCCGCCTCCCGCTCAACGTCAACGACGCCGACTTGCATCCGGAAATGGCGGAACTGCCACCGGAGCACCCGGGCGCAACGGAAATGCTCTGCGTGTTGATGAAGTTTGAGACCTTTAACATCATCAGATCCTCCAGTAGAGCTGTCAAGGTCTTTGATGTCATCATACACGGCCCTGGGAAAGACAAGCCTCCATCAAAACTAGAAGATGATGCGATCAACGAGATTGAGGCCATTTACCACGAAAAGTTCATTCGGCACCTAGATAGGAATATTCCTCTCCATGCTCTAGTGTATACCATGACCAGGCTCACGCTAGCTCGCTTCCGGTGCAAGGTGCACAGCCCGCGAGGCCGGGCTAATAGCAATGGGGAGGTGTTCATGACGCGCGAGGAGGGTGATCTGGTTTTCGACTGGAGTGTGACTTGGCTGGAGATGATGGAGATTGCTATGAGCAGCAAGTTCTCCTCGCACTTTATCGCGCATATGACGACGAAATTCACCGTGGATGTCTACATCTATATCATTAGTGATCTCCGCAAGAGGGTCTCTGGTGAGCGGGTCACGTTGGCTTGGAAGCTTATAGAGAGTCTCTACGGATATCATCCGGAACTGATTGAGAACACGGAGAGTTCCTTCTATGTGGCGCTAGGGGACTTGACATTGGAAGCTTGGGAGGCTAGGAGGAGAGAGTTGGTCAATATCCGGGGGAGTCATGAGGCCGATAATCCGCCCCGGTATATTTGCTTGCTTCGGGAACAGAGGCAACAGAAAATTGCGCCAGTTTCACAGGTGCCTGCGGCAGACTTTCAAAGTCTTGACCCTCTGGGACTCACCGATTCGGCAAACTTGGACTGGGACTATTGGAATGATTTTTTACGACTGTAGTCAGGTTGTTGTAATGGCAATTCCGACTTCAACTAGTATTTGCCATCTACATTGCAATTGCCCATTTGTGAGACTGTGACTCTTGAAGGTGGAGTTCGAGTTGCGGTGACTCTATCTAGTTCAAGCTCACGTTCCATCGCCAATGCGGGCCAGCGCATCCTTGTACTCAGAGCTAACGAACCCTTCGCCCTGCTCAGGTAGTAGTGAGTAAGCACATCGTAGCATGGGAACACCAAAGTCCCGTTTCAAACCTTGCGCTCAATGACTGAGAGCCAACAGTTGCGATGGACCCTGGATGATGGGATCAAAGAGACAATGTTGTTAATACATCATCCGAATATTCCCCATCCGGAGATTGGGCCGCGGCACGCGTCTAGTCAGCAACATCCCTGCGCAGCCCACGAGTACGACGTTGTTGTCATTTGACAGTCGGCAAGCATATTCAATTCTTCAGCGGCACCTACCTGTACTTGGGGAACTACTCAATGTCTTCCAGTCTACTTATGATACTCTACGAACCTAAGGTATTCTTCCCCGGCACAGGAAATCGACATTATGAGATTTGCGCTCCTTCGCCAGACTATTCTTAGTGACCTTTCCCCGCATCTTTGGTCCCCTCTTTTCCCACCATGATCGTCCGCCAACAGCCCCATGCCGACACACACTGAATGTATCCCTCCTCAACACTTAACTCCCCGACGAGTCAGAAGACGCCCATATGGCGTATGAATGCCTCTAGGACCTAGGCTCGTTGTATAAGTCAAGAATTCGCGCCCGAGTCCGAAGTCATCTTGCTAAAAGGCACTAGAAGAGACCAGCCGACGAGCCCTAAACTAAAAGCTGCCCAGCTGCGCCATCCGGAAAACATGGAGCGAACTGGAGCAGCCCACTTAGTCTATCATAGTGTTGGGGAACCCTGGAGTTGTAACCTAGCCAAGTTGGCAAATCAAATAACCTCAATTGGCTGGGTCGGTTAAGCGCCCACATCTCAGACATGCTTCCCCGTATCAACTTCGCCCCATAGTTGTCCTGCCTAGTGCAACATAACATCTACATCCGTACTCTGTTGAGTCTGTTGTGTCTAGTCTGTCTGCACAATCACTGCGTCTGCATCTCTATGTGTCTATGTATCATTGCCATCCCATCCCCGCACCCGACAACTAGCTCCTCCTTCAGGGTTCTGGTCACATCGGGGTCTTCAGTAGCCCCTCCGCTTGTCCGCAACCTGCGACGTGTTCGCCGCCATCTGTGCGGCCATGTGGCCCCTTGAGCTTCTCGAAATGCAGCCCCAAGCTTCCAAGGGCCCCCTCCTCTAGGCCTTTGTCTCTCTCTTGTCAATAGATCAGCGCAACGCGGAATCTCGGCGGAATACACCCTGCTTGCATTCCGCCCGAGCGTGCGTAACAGCCCTGTGGATTTTTTCTCCAAACGCTGCGACGTGGCGTGCGGAGAAGGATATATAAAGTAGAGTAACCATCGCGGTCCGCGAGCCGATTGTTTGTGCTGGTTGCTTCATCCCGACTCTCTGCTCAACACACTCAATCACCCCCACGCGCGCCTGTGTTTTTGAAATCTTTTGCCCCTCAATTGAGTTTACACTGACTTTGCGAAAAGCCGTAGCCATGGGTCTCTACAGCAAGCTGGTGGATGATATTACAGAGGTGGACGTGATCATTGCTGGAGGTATCTTGCAGGACTTCTACACCCCAACCAACAATTTTCACGTATTGACTCTTCAATCCTAGGCGGAACAGCAGCTTGCGTCCTCGCTGGTCGTCTCGCGGCCGCCGACCCTCAATTGTCCATCCTCGTCATTGAAGGCGGCACGAACAACCGCGATGTTCCCAATGTCGTCCACCCCGCCTTCTTTCTGGACCACCTTGCCCCGACGAGCAAGACCGCAATCTTTTACCAGGGCAACGTATCCGACAAGCTGGCAGGTCGCGGTCCCATTGTCCCGGCTGGAGGAATACTCGGTGGCGGTTCCTCGATTAACTTTATGCTGTATGTTACCGAATCTCTGTCTCTCCCCTCCCCTTAATGCCCCCCTCCTCTCTCTTCGACTCTCTCGGATCTCCAGCCCCCCTCAAGTTCGTAGCCTCAACCCGGCATCCGATGAGACCTCCCCAGCTTCGCCTCCTTCATCCCCCCATATCCGCTCCCACACGATCCATTCTGTCTGGACCGTTTCATCCCGTACCCCGGATGCGGGGGCGGCAGTTAGCACCGGGATGGAAGGGGAAAAGTTGGGGTAGCTCCATTCTAGCTCGTGGCACATGAGCTCTTCTGACTCCCTCATGACGATCGACGTCCCCTCCACGAGCCAAGCTAACGAGTCATGCTATTGCCAGCTACACCCGTGCCCAAAAGTCTGACTTTGATTCATGGGCGACACCCGGCTGGTCTTCGGCAGACCTTTGGCCTTACCTGAAGCGCTTCGAGACGTACCACGGTAACGGCGACCCGGCCCACCACGGCTCTTCTGGCCCAGTGCATGTGTCTTCGGGAGGCTTCCGTGTCAAGAGTGCCGAGGATGATATCCTGGCCGCCGCAAAGCAGACTGGCTACCCTGAGATTCGGGACTTGCAGAACCTAGAGGCAAACAACGGCTATGAAAGGTGGATGAGATACGTCTCGCCTGAAGGCAGACGACAGGATGCCGCACACACTTTCCTGCACCCACTTCTCGAGGATGGAAAGCACCCGAACCTTCACGTATTGGTGGAGTCAAAGGTGATCCGCGTCCTGTTTGACGACCATAAGCGTGCCGTCGGAGTCGAGTACACTCCCAACTCAGACTACCAGGCTGTCTTGAACACCACACAACAACCGGTCCGGAGCGTCAAGGCAAAGAAGATGGTGATCGTGTCGTGCGGCGCCTGCGGAACCCCCGGCGTTCTCGAGCGCTCTGGCCTAGGAAGCCAGAAGATCCTGGACAAGGCTGGCGTTCCCGTTGTGGCGGATCTGCCTGGCGTGGGAAGCAACTATCAAGATCACAACCTTGTTTTGATGCCCTACAAGACGGCGTTGAAGCCGGAGGAGACGCTGGATAACATCTTTAGCGGGCGCATAAGCCATGAGGATGCGATTGCCAAGAAGGACAAGATGCTGGGCTGGAACGGTGTCGATGTCGTCAGTAAAATCCGGCCCACTGAGGAAGAGGTAAAGAAGCTCGGTCCCGAGTTCGAAAAGGCATGGGAGAAGGACTTCAAGAATGACCCCAACAGACCTGTCATGCTTACTGGTTTCCTTCACGGGTATGTACACCATGCAACACATCCTACTATCAAGAGCGCAAAGACACTGACATTTACAGGTTCCTGGGCGACCACGCCGCCATCCCGCAAGGCCAGTACACCACAGTCGCAAACTACACGGCGTACCCCTACTCCCGCGGTAGCATCCACATCACCGGCCCCGCCCTAACGGATCCCCTCGACTTCGAGACCGGATTCTTTAGCGATCCTGACGACCTGGACCTCAAGAAGCAGATCTGGGCCTACAAGCACTCGCGCGAGGTCGCCCGCCGCACAGCCCTCTACCGCGGCGAAGTCGCCGGCGGACACCCTTCCTTTGCTGCGGACTCCAAGGCCGCGCTTGTCGAGTCCGTCTCGGCGGACGCGTATAAGAACGTCAAGCCGATTGAGTATTCTGAGGAAGACGACAAGGCGATTGAACAGTTCTTGAGGGAGAACATCAATACGACGTGGCATTCTCTTGGAACGACCAAGATGGCGCCGCGGGATGATGGGGGTGTTGTTGATTCTTCGTTGAGCGTGTACGGTGTTGAGGGACTCAAGGTTGTTGACTTGAGTATCGTGCCTGAGAATGTTGGTGCTAATACGAACAACACGGCATTTGTGGTCGGCGAGAAGGCGGCGGATATCATTGCAAAGGATTTGGGCATTATCATCGCGCCAAAGTTATAAGACGATGACGAGATCAGAGATGGACTACCTAGCAGACTGCATATGAGCGAGATGTAATGAGTGCGAAGCAATTGACGACGAGCCCGTTCTGAGGACAAGCCCTTCTCAGCCCTATAATTATTCCTGGTGTTTATTGCAATGAGTAATGTAGCATTTCACTCTAGAAACCCGATTAGGGGAGTTGGCACACACAGCACGGCAAATCCATAGAAGGCTGGAGGAGAAGTACGTCTCGTTCTAGGTGATGTAATTTGTGTATATCCAAATCTCCCCAGAACGTTTATTTCATTATTAAGATCGTGACTACACATGATGCAGTCTTACAGGAGTGTGGGTATCAAGCTCTTCAGCGAGCACAGTTCTAGATGAGATGGCAGGTCTTCAAGCAGACTCGTGGTGAGACTCGTGAAGCCCCTTCTTCTCAGCGTGGATAGCGCTGTCCTCCAGGTCCTCAGTCAGGCCGACATCCCGTCTAGCCTGCTCGAGCAAAACGCTGTCCTCGGCACCCGCGTTGCTGCCAAAGACACGGTCCATCTCCTCAAGGGTGGCTCCCTTGGTCTCGGGCAAGGCGAAGTGCACCCAAATGATGCTGGCGCCGAGGAAGACGGCGAAGAAGATGTAGGTTCCCCACTTCCAGCTCTCGAGCATGGATGGGACGTAGAAGGCTACGGCGAAGTTGTTGAGCTAGTGGGTGAATGTTAGTCCGATGTCAATGTCTAAAAGAAGAAAAGTCGGAGTGCATACCCAGTTGCTTGATGCGCCGATGGAAGCACCCTTGGCGCGGATGGAGAGGGGGAAGATCTCGGAAACAAGGGTCCATGAGACGGGGCCCCACGAAGCTCCAAAACCGGCGACTGAGATGTAAAGTTAGCATACCGAGTTCTTAAGAGATCTCGACTGGAGATAGAAAGGCTCAACGTACTGTAAATCCAGATGAAGGCGACGGCAACCCATCCCTCAACAGGATGGCCCGGCCAGTCGTGGCTGAACTTGGCGACAATGATACCAGGGATGACCATGGAGATCAACATGACGATGGAACCAACAATCAGGATGGGCTTTCTGCCGACCTTGTCGATGATGGCCATGGCAGGAAGGGTGCTGATGAAGAAGACGACACCGGTGACACCAGTGGCCAAGAGAGCAGTCGTGCCGCCGGTAAGACCGAGGCTCTGGAAGACGTTGCTGGCGTAGTAGATGATGGCGTCGATACCGGACCACCTAGCAGACTCAGTTAGTTCGGTCGCGGGGGCCAAGGAGGTCGTGGTAGACTTACTGTTGCCAGAACATGACCAGCCAAGCATACGCAACACGCTTGAAATGGTCCCAGGAGCGGAGAATACGCCAGTACTGCGCAACCTCGCGCATCCAAACGCTCGTCTTCTCCTTTTCGGCCAACTGAGGGAACGCCTTCTGGAACGAGCGCTGCTCGAAGAGGGCCTCGGCCTTGATCTCCTTGAACTCAACCTGGACAAGCTCGCTATCCTCGGGGAGCTTGCGGAGGTACGCGATGGTCTTGACGGCCTCTTCGTCGCGGCCCTGCTTCACGAGCCAGCGAGGGGAGAAGGGCAGCCACCAGATTCCGAGGGCGAGAAGGGCGGCGGGGACACCCTGGATGTAGGAAGGGAGTCTCCATGCGAGGTCGGACTGGCCCTCGCCGATGCCGCCGATGTAGTTGCTGCCGTATCCGATCCAGAAGGAGAGCATAATCCCGAGAATGGTGGCGAATTGGTAGAAGGAGACGATGAAGCCACGCATTTCGGGGGCGGCGAGCTCGGCATTGTACAGGGGACTGAGAGATAGTTAGCGTTGTGGCCTGGGTGCGAGTTCCTAGACAGACGGCAGACTCACCCGACACCACTAAAGGTTCCGACACCAAGACCGGTGAAGAAGCGGCCGGCGTAGAGGAGCTCAGGCTTGTGGTAGCTTGCGCCGGTGTAGAGGTAACTGCCCAGGACGACCCAGAGACAGGCGGAGAACATGGTGTACTTGCGGGAGAAGACCTCGCCAAAGACACCGGCGCTGACGGAGCCAAGGATACCGCCGAGCTGGAGGATGGACGTCAACCAGCCCGTCGCGCTGGATGAGTTCACGACGGAAGGGAAGTTGTCCTTGAAGCGCGTCATGACGAGGGATTGTCCGAGGACACCTAGGAAGACGATGAGGTCAGTAACGGAACAGTCGCCATCGAATTCGGGAGATTAGAGACATACCCTGCTGGTATCCATACTCAAAACCTCCAAAGGATGCAAAGAGGGCAATGACGAGAATCTTGGGGTTGTTTGCCAGCGACTTCCATCTGTTCTGGTAGGCAAGCTGCGTGCGCGCCTCGGCGGCGGTGGCTGCTTGGACGGCCATGATTGCAAAAGGCGATTGACGAGCAAAAGAGTCGACCTCGTAACGCAAGACAACCGAGTGACAATCACGGGAAGCAGGAGCCGGAAAATAATAAGACGATCACCTCACCCAACAGGCCGGGCCATCGTCTGTACTTATTCTTGGGAGCACCGACGCTAAGGACTGCCTTCCTGGGGGGTGGTTGACCAGGGAGACGTCCTTTGGCGATGGGGCAACTTTTGCCAGATGGGGACAGGATGTGTCAAGTTTTGATGCGACTCTGTGTAGGCCGTCCCGCAGAGTCGAACGAGATGGGCCCCATGGGCTAGGTTCTTGGGTCTTCCGTCGTGTCAATGTTATTGCTAGCTCCTTGAGTCCATCATTGACCTGTCTGAACCCAGGGAAGCCTCGTCTGGCATGTTCGATCTGTGTTGCTTCTTCGACTGCGTGTACATGTGAGATTCTCAGTCGCTGGGAATCCGGGGTATGCCAGATCAGCGTGGTGGGATCTGAGTACTGACCGACATGGTGCTTATGATTCCCGGATCCAGACGTCGGCTCCAAATACGCGTTCTACTACGGCTTGCTCTTCGCCCGACGATCACCTCCCCTCAGGTTTGGCAAACGTTGGCATCAGTCGGCATTCGCCCAAAGGTTTCCGAACCCGAAGCATCTCCAACGCTCCAACCCCTTCGAAAATCCTCTGGGTGCTCAAGAGCTGGCGGGACAAACAGCGGAGTCCTCCGTCTTGTTTCCACCTTGACCCCCTGGTTCATGGAGTTCATACCCCGCCCACCCGCACACAGAGAAGTCTGGCACATCACACGATTTGGTCCACCCCCGCAGCGGGTTCGCAGTCGTAAAAAAGATACCAAAGTAAAAAAGAATTACGGAAAAAGAGAAGGCCAAGGCGTGTAACGTCGGGGAAAAGTCCCGGAGCTAACGCCAGAAGCGGAAGTTGGCCGAGTTGGTCTGGGACCTCTGGGTGGATTCAAAGCAGAAATCTTTACCACTTCCCCACCGGCGGCGGTAAAGTGCCAGAGGGCAGAAGTGTTCTTGACTAAGGTGTTTTTCCCGTGGGGAATGTTTTGACTTCTCTGGGGATCCCGCTGGCCCAGACTCGAGTGAGGATTGTGAGGGGAAAATCCCCCATCTTGTCAGCAATAGCACCGAGAAGAGGCCGTTGAGTCGACGACAACAACTGGTCGACGTGCAGATATACCGGCCACAATGACAGAACTTTGATTGTCTTTCAGGTTTCAAATAGACCGCCCACATGGTCGCCACGTTAATTTGACGGTTCCCGGATGAGAAAACATCCCTCATACCGGATCTCATACCGGGATATTCGTCGAAGCCCCAAAGAAAAGTCAAATTGAGCCGCACCCTTGGCAGCGATGCCGGGACCGCGCTATTACTCAACTCGCCCACTCCTCGACGCTTCCAGACTTTGCTTTTATGGTTATTGAGCCCGGGCTCTTGTACGTCAGGAGTCATGCCATCCCCGGCGCCATGCTGCTGCTTGACTAAGAAGTCCCACAGCAACGTTACCTAGCAGGCTAGTTCGCGTGTGCTCGACCTCTTTGCCCGCGGGGTTGGTTTCTGACTGGTCCCTGCAATCAAAAGCAGAATTTTCTGCAGGCGATCCTTTGCAAGTGAATTCGCTTCTGCAATGCGCTCTTTCAGTTGGATTTTCGTGTCGGCAGGGCCCGGCCGAGATGTTCAAAATGCCGTTGCCTTTGACCGATGAAGTTTGCGTCATTGAATCGCGAAATGTGAAAGCTCGGTGTTCTCTCCGTCGATGCTTGGGTAGTCGGCTTTTGTTGCCGACGCTAATTACGTGAGCTCCATAAGGTAGTTGTGATACTGGGCAAACGTCTGTTCATGATCCCCTGATGGCATCAAATTTTCTCATTGCAAAAGACTCGTCACCGCTTCACATTGGCATCGATGCATCGTGGTTCGCGCATGAGATCCCGGTATTGCTGGTGGAGAGCACGACAGGACCCGTTTTCTACCTGCGGGCGAATTCGGAAGAGCAATAATGAACGCCCCACGATGTCGGTTTCCGAGTCTTTCGGGAGATGTTCGAGATAACATAGCGGAGTTGACGACCTGTTCCTGACTCGATGCATCATGTCCTCGGCAATCTCTTACGGAAAGCGTAGATGCTGCCGATGGTGCCAGCAAGCATTGCAATTTGCTAGGTGTAATCCCTCAGCCCTCTGAACTCATGCCAACTTTTGAGGCTTGAGACTGCTTCACTTCAGATGTTCACATGCCTGCTCTCTGCCATCGCTATATCGCTGCTACGGGACACCAGAAAATGGAAGGTCTTGCGCGTTATGTATTGTTCACCCTCCACGGCGTAGGGGAAAGTTCTATTGGAGGGTAACGTGGTTTAGTCGAAGGGGCGTAGACTCGATCAAAGTTCTCTTGCGCAGGATGCCACGATGCTGCGGCTTTGGCACGTCTACTCTACTAAATCACACACGCGAAAATGATCAAAAATTGAGATTTTTGAACGACATAGGGGTGGGAAGATATCTCGACGTGATCTACAGCTCGTACATTCTCAACTACGTCATCTCTAAAGCTGGAGATGGCCAAACATCGTTCAAAAACCACAGAGACGAATTGGAGACATGCAGTAGAAAGTTACGCTTTTCTCAATCTGAACGTCAAAATAGACAAGCGATCTCCGGCAATGGTTGATCATATGGTTACGACAACCTGGAGAGTGGACGTGTAGATCGGCAGCCATCCGAAGTGCGTTTGACACGTGGGAGAACCGCAATGCTGGGTCATTAGCCCCCCCAAGGATGAGTATTTGTGACTCCTAGGACCCATCGACGGCAGTTGAGATGAAGGTGGTTCGAGACATTGCTCATGCAAGGTAACCTTCGAAGGCGGGTAGTCCCGCAGTGACAGACACGCAAGACTTGGCTCCAGACGCAACATGCAGCATAGACATGCATGAATTAAGAGCCCATGTGGAAGGGAGCGCGAGGCGTGTTCCCCCCGCAATATTCCCTCTGAGGCTGGAGAGACGTCCGGAGAGGCCGGGGTAATTCTGGGGTCCTGGGGTTCTGTGGGGTTTGGTGTAATTGATTAGTTGACAACTTGACAACATTAAAGCATTACAGCCGACCGATGATGGCATTTGGCGAACATGAGTATTCCATGATATAGCTTTTCTTATAGCTTTGTTTCTGATCGGATTTCTCGTTCCAAAGTCAGTGATAGTAGACGCCTTGGAGCGCCCCGCAACTTGGTGTGCTTTTCTCACAACTCGAGATGTCGAAAGACAGCCGCGACTAGCTGTAACATTTGAGTCTCATGACGTTTGATTGATGTCCTTCCGTGAAGCGCAGACTAAGACAGCGCGAAAGCAAATGCATTTGAGAAGAGAAATCTGTAATGGGCGAACTGATACTCTTGACGATGGTAAAGTTGTCATCTCGATATGTCACTGACTGAATGATACTGACTTGAGGCTCGGCTGTTGGTTCTGGCTATCGCAGTGCAATCAGCGGACAGAGTCAAGATATGCACATTGGACTTTCCCAAATATAGAAAACATCATGGGCTTTTTACTCATTGTAGGCAAATCCATGCGAATGGCGCTTTTTCCACCAATGTATTGGTGCCAGACCACCTCACAGGAGGCCATCTTGAGCCCTGACATATCGATCGTCAATGCGGACTATAGCTTAACTCAACTTGAGGAAAGGTATGAACTCTGATAATGGCGCGTACAAGGCCCATTTTGAAGAGTCTGGAACCAAGGACTGAAACGGACGCGACAATTCTCGACGGGGGCGAACCGAGGGGCGGCACGTGCCGTGGCACCTGCCATGTCTATTTTAGGGAGAGTTTGTTGGATGATTGAGTTTGGGCGGGAAGATTGCATTACTTTCATTGGATGGTTTAAGCACAATAGTCAAACATGATGAACAAATGGTCATGGTGATGGTAAGATTTGTGAGATGAGAGATGAGAATGAACGGTGATGAGTGAACAGGAGCTGGATGTGATGAGATGAGCAATCAGCTGCCTTTAAGTGACTGATATGGATAGATGAATACATTTATCCGAAACCAGGGGCTTACGTCATTTCGCTCGATATTTCTGTATCGGGGACGTGCCCCGCGCTAACCTGGAAGGAAAGAACCGTGCACGCAGCCCCTGCCCCACCATGGCGGGGAGCTGCTGCCGTTTTGTCACAGAAACTCGGCGGTCGGTGTTTTGGCACCCAAAAAAGATGAGACACGTCGTCGCAAACAAAAATCTCTCGAGATAATCTGATAATCTCGCTGCTTTCCCCTCTCTTTCTCTGAGTCCCTCTGAATTGCATCTTCTTTCTGGTCAATCTCTGCTGGACTCTCTCGATACCCAATCCCTTCTTCAGATCCAAGATGCCTGGTATGGTTCCCCGCCATTGACATCACCACAAACCTCGCACCAAGCTAATCACCATGCAATTGACAGCTCCCTACTCGACCGGCGACAAGACCTCCTTTGGCTGGGTCACTGCTCGCGAGCGCTGGCCCGTCATTATTGTGCGTACTTGGCATCCTTGTTGACAATTCACGGCTTGCTGACAGCTACCCTGCAGACCCAAGCCATCGACGACCTCTACCGATCCGTCACCCAGACCAAGGACGCCGAGAAGGAAGCCGAGGGCAAGAAGATCATTGAGGAGATTGCCAAGATCAAATACGAGGTTCAGCACGACCGCGCTTTGACGTACGGCTCTCCATCGACACCTCCAGTACGATAGTTGCTGACTATACTCTCCATACCAGACCGATCGAAGACGATGGATACCCCGACGTGAGCATCTACAACGAGGAGCTCAAGAAGCTTGGCTCTCCCACATGGCTGAACGTGCCGTGGCTTTACACCGAGTGCTACCTCTTCAGGTAAGCTACATATGGCAAACCACTTGGCAAACACGTGCTAACAGCAACAGACGCATCAGCACGCACTTTGCCCGGTCCACCCACTGGAAGAACTAC